TCAGTGGATGAAAGAAGAAGAATCAATGATTAGTAAACTCTGATACCATTGTTGATAAATGGTGGTTTTAGATAATGCTGTTATCAAACCTGGAGTTGTGGGAAAGGGTAAATAGAGAATTTAAATAGGTAACAGTGGTAAAGGAGTTGTAGTTTGTCTTTGAGAGTGTAAGGAAAAAACACAGTGATAGAGATTTTGAAAATTGTTTTTTGTTGTTTTGTCTTTTTTGTTGTTTAATTTGAGAGAGACAGAGACAGTGCGGGTGGGGGGAGGGCAGAGAGGGAGGAAGACAGAGAATGAGAAGCAGACGCTGAGCTGCTAGCTCAGAGCCCAACGCAGAACTCAAACCCATGAAAACGTGAGATCATGACGTGAGCCGGAACCAAGAGCTATATGCTTAACCAACTAAGCCACCCAAGTGCCCCATTATGTTTTGTCTTTAGGTCTGGGTACACAAAAATGTAGTAGGTCTTAAATTTTAACTATAGGCAAAATAACTCTCAAAGCTTCAGTTATACTGAATTTATTATTAGTCAAGTCAACCAGATCATTGTTAAATAAACATTTCTCTTCAGATTAGGAAAAAATGTTCCTTAGATTTTAGAGACCACACGTGTTTTGTAGATATTCCTCACTCTTGAGCCATTATAAAAATATGTTTAGCTATGCTCTCTGGCAGGTATCAAAGGTATATCTTGAAAAGTGACAGGTTTTAGATTTCTAAGTAGACTGTTGTAATATTTTAAATATTAAACTGATTCCACAAATACATCATTTTTACCATGTTCTATGTTCTGTATTAGGACCTGGCCTTCAAAGATAAGTTAAGATACGGTTACTGCTGCAAGGAGCTCACAGTCTGAGGGGCTCCAAAAAACATGATCAGTGCTGTAGCAGGTACTTGGATACCTAGATACCATTTAGTTTAAAAGTGTTGATGGTATCCATAGCTCCACATTAGAAGAAAAAAGGACAGTTTCCTGAAAGAGGTGTCTGAGCTAATCTTCAATCACTGCCTTAAAATTTTAGGTTCTATGAAGAAGGCAAACAGTTTTTTCTTATGTATATATAAAAGAAATGATCAGAAGGAGAATAAGGCTAAGAAATCACTTTAGGATGCCCAGATTTACTTCTTCAATATGAATATCTCAAATTTTCAAATTGGTAGCAGATACCAATAAATATAAGTAATACATATGGACTAGATATTCCAAGACTTTATCTGCATTGCTCAAGTAAAATGGTAGTGGATTTTCCTTGACTTTATTTATCATACAACTGTTTATAGTGACCAACATCACTTAAATGACCTTTTCTTTTTTCCTGGTGGGGATATTAGAAAGTAAATGAAACATGCATAGCATAGTACAGGGCCTGGCACATAGTAGAGTTCAATAAACGGTAGTCTCCCTCTCCAACCCAAAGTGAATCTTCTATGTCCATTCGATACAGTGCCTTTGCAATTAAAGATGCTTTGATAAATGCCAGAACTCTACACTGACCTCACAGCTTAAGTACCAGTACTCACCAAAGAAATCTTTAGCACCTTCTCTTTTTCCCCAGTTTCCTCAATCCCCATCCTATTTATTCTTAGTAATACCTGTGGTAAAACTGTATAGGGATGAGTTCCTAAAACAAAACTATCACATTTAATTTTTATTAGAGATTTTTAAATCACATAAGCATGATTCATGAAACAGTTATTGGAAGTTTCTGCCAATGCAATTGCAAATAGAAGTATCAAGATTTTATTATCTTTGGGAAAATAAATTCCACAAGAACTGAGATTACATACAAATTCCAAATTCTAGAGTAGGTCAAGATAAGGCAATTAAAAATTAATTAACTAATTAATTAAGTCCATCGGGGGAAGAAAAGGCAATAAATGTAGGCAAAGCACACTGACAACAGATGGCAGCACTTGAATATCAAACCCTGCTTTTTACTTCCAGGTTAGGTTGCAATCTGCAGAAATACAGATCCCTGGTCAAAGTGGGCAAAAGATAATGTCTACACAAAGGGCACCTCATGAATATTTGAAACAGTCACATAGTACTAAGATAGCAAGCACACAGAAATATGGCAGCTGCTACATAGTGTAATAATGAGAAGGGGCAACATGAGATAATAAGTCTTCCAAGACAGGGAATGTGGTTTGTTGGAGTTGTAGAAGTTGTAATCAGAAATGGAACTGGGTTCTACAAACCAGACAATGTGGTATTCACAGAGGATTGGAGCACTGGAAGCTTAAAACACTCGAAATGCATTTCAGCTATGCCTACACAGTATAGCAGGAAGTTGAAACTATTCCTTTTTTGTTTGTTTGTTTGTTTTATTTCTAGGAGAGAGAGAGAGAGACAGCATGAGCAGGGGAGGGTCAGAGAGAGAGGGAGTCACAGACTCTGAAACATGCTCCAGGCTCTGAGCTGGCAGTCAGCACAGAGCCCGACGCGGGGCTCAAACCCACGAACCGCGAGATCATGACCTAAGCGAAAGTTGGACGCTTAACCGACTAAACCACCCAGGCGCCCCGGCTATTCCTTTTTTTAAAAGAAATTGAATTTATTTCAACTGTAGTCCAGACAAACTAAAGAGAGTAATCATAGAAAATGAGTAGTATTGTGGCTCAGTCAGTTAAGCGTCCGACTTCAGCTCTGGTCATGATGTCGAAGTTCCTATGTTTAAGCCCCATATCAGGCTTTGTGCTGATAGCTCAGAGCCTGGAGTCTGCTTTGGATTCTGTGTCTCTGTCTCTGCTCTCTTCCCCCCTGCCCCCCGCCTCAAAACTAAATAAAGATTTTAAAAAATTTTAAAAACCTTTTAAAAAAGGAAATGACTTTTTTTGGTAATATATTTCATATTAATGGACTTGTTTATGGCTTAAAATTGGGAATAAATGATTTGTTTTAGAAAAATTTTTAGATTGGGGCACCTGCAGGGCTCAGTCGGTTAAGTATCTGACTTTGGCTTAGGTCATGATTTCATGGTTTCTGAGTTGCAGCCCCACATCTGGGGCTCTGTGCTGACAACTCAGAGCCTGCAGCCTGCTTCAGATTCTGTCTCTCTGTTCCTCCTCCGCTTGTGCCCTGCCCCTCTCTGTCTCTCAAAAATAAATAAATGTAAAATAATAAAAAAAAATTTCTTAAAAGAAAACTTTTGGGTTAATTTGTCAATTTATTATGCTGGTTACTTAAAGAGAAATGGATTTCTTCATCCCTCTATATTCATGGTTAATAGGCTTTGTAGAAAAAGACACCTAGGTTGAAATCTCACCTCATTTGATTCTTAGCTATCTGACTTTACCAAGATACTTTAGCTCTTTGTGAATTGTCTATTAAACAGTAGTAATAGCTACCTCATGTGATTTTGTGAGGGTCAAGGAATTAAATAGCACAAAGCTTTACACATGGTACATTTTCAACAACTGAAAGCTGTTCTTATGTGATTCCAGGTATGTTCCCTCCTCCAGCTCTAAATTATTTACTTCAAATTCCTGAAAATGCCTTGCTGACTATAATATGTCCAGAAAAAGTGGCAGGGGCCTTGGTAGCTGTAGTAACGTTCTTGCAAATACTGCAGATGAAAATAATTTGGAAGGGAATGAGGTAAAATGCATATTTCAGTTTTAGGTTATATATTGTGTATTAAAACCTATGGGAAGGTGTCTATTTAAGCTCAAGGCAAAGACCTCATGGTTAATTTTGCTTAGCTAAGTTTGCTGAAGCCAAACCACTTTATTGACGCCGGCTAGCCTGCCCTGCAGTACCCAGAGAGCGAACTAAGCTTTCTTAGCCCTCAATGTCAATGCGTTGGCGAGAGGGTACGCGATGCAGGCTTTGGTGCAGAGCAATTGGAAGAGTCTGTTCTAGATCACATGAGTCCGTAGAGGGCTAATAAAATATTCCCTTAGGCAATACAAGAGAGACAATTCTCACCAGCCTACCCTAATGTCTGATTTCTCCTTTCCTAAGACTGGGCTACGCTAGAAGTTGAAAGGAATTGAGCGTAAATAGGGCTAATGGTAAAGAGCAGTTTGTCAACACTCCCAAAGGTACTACAAAATTCAAATTAAAGTTGTAGCTGTTAGGGTTTGACTCACCAGCCTACGAGCTATGCGTGCGTGAGGCTCCAACCTCACTCCTTTTTGTGTTTCCAATGCCTCAATATGGCTCTACACTCAATATATTTATGAATATATATATCTTCGTATTTTTGTTTTTATGAAATGTCACTGTGGGAACACCGTAGTTGTTGAAACATACACTTTTAAAAATAGTTCCTTTGGAAACGTATGACCTGTGGTGTCATAATAAGGATGAAGGCACTGAAGTACTTTAGTACCGAGCGAAGTAAATTTTTGAAACTGAGGCTTCAAGGTTAAAGAATACAACTAAATCAGGCAGCTAACACGTGACAGGGCGCAAGACTCGAACTCAGTCGTGCCTAAGACAAAAGGTCTCGCGTGATTTCAGCGAAACCTCGCCGGCCGCTGTCTTTCAACGCGCAGCTCCAAGCAGATTCCATCCGGAATTCAGGGCCTGGTTTAGCAAGAAGAGCCCGTATGTCCACCCACCTCACCCTCCCCAGGAACTGCAATGAAAGGTAAAACGTGGCCATTGCGCATGCTCACACCGCCCTTCCTTACATGCCCTTCCCCGCCCTGGACGTCACCGCAGCAACTGTCCCAGAGGACTTTAGAACGGCTCCCGCCCACTGTGAAGTCAAGCGGGCGGAAACTGTTCATCTCTGCGACGTGGACACGTTCTCTTCCTCTAGCCTTTCCAACTTGGAAGTCGACACGATGCGCTCCTGTTTCTCGGGGATTCATACTGGAGTTTGCCAGTTGTCAATATGGCCGCTGACGGGCCGGTTCCAAGTAGAGGCTTTTCATAGGCTAAGGTCGCATCCTAGCCCCACCCACTCCGTCCCTCCAGGCTGCGTCCGCCTAAGGTCTTCGCTACGCATGCGCAGCGGGGGCGGGCCGGGAGGTGGGACGGCTTGATTCTTCCGTGTGCCACCGCCGCCGCCTTAGCTTAGCTGCTCTTGCCACTTCTGGGCTGCACTGCCGGCGTTAGCCGCGCGAGGGAAAGGGAGGGGACCGACGGAGCGTGCGTGCGCGGGGGTCCCCGCAGTCCCAGCAGTTCCTCTCGCGCGGGGTGGGCGGCGGGGGTCATCAGCAGTCTGGGGAGGCCCTAGACGGCGCCATGTCGGCGGGCGGCCCGTGCCCGTCAGGAGCCGGAGGGGGCCCCGGGGGCGCCTCCTGCGCCGTGGGGGTCTCCCCCGGCGGGGTATCCATGTTCCGATGGCTGGAGGTGCTGGAGAAGGAGTTCGACAAGGCCTTCGTGGATGTGGATCTGCTCCTGGGGGAGATCGATCCGGACCAGGCGGACATCACTTATGAGGGGCGACAGAAGATGACCAGCCTGAGTTCTTGCTTTGCGCAGCTTTGCCACAAAGCCCAGACTGTGTCCCAAATCAACCACAAACTAGAGGTAAGCTGTGGGCCCTGGAGGAGGTGGCGTTCAACCCAGTCATCAGATCCCATTTAACGCACTGGTGAAACGACCCTAGAAAACTACCCACCAGGGCCCCTGAGCTCAGATGCGACAGGAGAGTGCATGTGTATATGTGTAAAGCAAAGGAGTGAGGTGAGGTTGGAGTAGAAAAAGGGGTGTAGATCGACGTGTGGGTGCCCTGGAGTCCTGTCACCCACCTTCCTAGTATTTCTGTGCGGAGGAAACAGGAACTAATTACACCAGCCTACTTGTACAGACATCATGGAGAAACCTAGGATTTAAGTTCAAAGATTGTCACAAGAATACTTTAGTCCACCTCTCAACATGTGAGTTCTTGTATCGATTCTGACAAACTGGGTTTGTGTATCACCAGACTGATACAGTGTTGATTGTGTTTTGTTTTGTTTTTTTTTAACTATTTCAGGTCATCGTATCTTGTTTCACAAAGACATACTATTTCCTGCATGCATTAACTATTTAAGGGAATTCTATCAAAGCTACTAGGAAAATTTAGTGGGATAAACTGGATAGTATTAGTGCCCTTCTCGGTTTACAGTTGGCCTTTAAATTATAGGCAGATAACCAGGAGAGTTCTCTACAATTTTTCGAAAGACTTATACCATTGAGTGAGGTTTTGTTTGTCCTTTACTATATTTCCCAAAGTCTTGATTTATTTGTGAGAGGATGTGAAGAACGATCATTTGCTGTAGTCTCTAATCTCGGTTGTGGCTGTGGGTGTGGGTGTGGGTGGAGTGGTGGTGGTTCCAGAACCACAAAAAACCTACCACGTTGTGCAGAAAGTTAAATTAATGCATTATTACAACATTTAGAAACATGGCACATTAACATTATTACATAAAGGGCATTTTCTAACTAAATAATTTAACAGAATGGATACTTCATTTTAAAGTAGATAAAAATAGGATAATCGCCGATGTGCAAAGCTCTTTGAACGTGAAGTTTCCCAAGAAATCATCATTGCTATCAGTTACAATGATTTAGAGCGCCCCTTAGATCCAAATCAATATGAATATCAGATATGTGTCCTCTCCTTGATTAGTGGTTAGCATTCTTCCACCTTCCTGTCAGTTAGCCATGGAAAGGGTGGTCTAGTTCATCTTTGATTAGCATGGATGCAAATCGGAGTTTTGTTTCTTCACTGAATGTACTGTTCATTTTTATTCCATTCTTTTTGAAGAGGTTTGAATGGAAGTGCTGATGTGAAGCTAATCACTTCTTGTTCTAGGTATATGAAAAAGATTTTTGATATCTTGATTACTGCTTATTTCTAGAAGATAATTTTTTGGGTAGTAAAAATGCATTTAATGGTTTTTAGAAATAATACTTTAGCTTTAAATACCAGAGCAAGAGCAGCTTTTGCCTCGTGAGAACTTTCATATCATTTCCAACTGCAAGTACCTACTGGGGATTAACAGCTATTAAAAAGTGAAACAATATCTAACTCATTTTTTAAATGACCAGAGGACATTTTCAACAGTTTCATTTTGATGTCAGATATAAAAATCTAATTTTGGAGAAAAAATTATTTTGTGAGTAGGAGATGGTACTCAGTCTTTTTCATCTTTAAATATTTTAGGTGAGTATTCAGAGCTATAATAAATTATGTAAGTTCTTTTTCTCAGGAATTGTAATTGCGTATTCTGACTCCACATCCTGGCTTAGGAGGTGGCGTTATTTCTCAAAATAAGAAACGCTAGCCTGTTGTGATGTGAGCATGTTTCTTCAACATACTTGAAACCCTTGGCTTTAAGATCTTAGAAAATGGGGAAGGAACATTTTGTTTATGTGTTTTTTCAGTTACAGTTGACTTATCTGTGGGGTTGATGTTTCTACAATTGGCAGTGTTTACAGTTTTCATGGAATTGGTTCTGTATTGCTGAGAAGAGAGGTTCATTGTCAGTAGTGCCTTTCACAGTAGACCTGCTGTTGGATTATTTGCAGAATTCCAGAGGTTCATATACTGTTATTAATCTGAGATCTTGAAATCCTTAGAAAAGATTGCCATACTTTCTTGCCCTGTTTTATTTTTTAGTAAGTGGATTGAATTATTTCTATTGTTTTTAAGGCTATGGGCATGAAGATATAACATGTGAGGCCATTTATGATTTGATATAACATGTGTGCACCAAAGTTTAGTGTTTTTACAGATTAATACCTTAAACTATATTACCATAATAAAATTGTTTTAGAATCAAGACACAAATACTTCCAGTATGGGTAACTTATAATATATTTAAATTGGTCTTGAGTATCTTTCCATATTGCCCGTTCTTCTGCCTGCTTATTGTGTCTTTAGGTAATACCATATTTAATATCAATATAGTAGTTAAAACAGTTTTGCCTCAAAAAAGTCAGAGGTTACATTTAAAATTAAGTAATAAATGGCGTGCCTGGATGGCTCAGTCAGTTGAGCGTCTTTCTGACTCTTGATTTTGGCTTGGGTCATCCACCCCTCCAGCCCCCACTCCCACGTTGAGATTCTCTCCCTGTCCTACTTCCCCATGCACAAGCGTGTGCACAGTTCCTCTCTCAAATAAAATGTAAAACATAAAATAAAAATTAAATATAAATGACGCTTATGTGACTACTGCTTGCCATAAGTTATACCTGGGGAGAGGGCTATCTATAAGGGGAAGGGGAGGGCAAAGAATATCAGAATATATTGAGATAGTGCCATTTCAGGGTACTCACATCTCTCTTACACTTCCCACCTGCATGAGAATTTCTGCTGTAGTGAGCCACTTGGTGACAGCTGTGCTGGAATCACAGGTATTGAGTGGGACAGTGGTAAGAGCAGTAGCAGTAGTAATAGTTACAGTAGTGTGTTAGAGTAATACAAAGATGTAGAACCAATACTTTAGAAAAACCCACCTGTCTACCTGGAAATGCAATTTTCTGCCTTTTTATTTACCCCTTTTTTAAAATAACAGCAAGACATAGGCGCATGGGTGGCTCAGTTGGTTAAGTGTCCGACTGAATCTCAACTCAGGTCTTGATCTCAGGGTTGTGAGTTTGAGTCCCGTGTTGGGCTCTGTGCTGGGTATAGAGCCTACTTAAGAAAGAATAAAAAAATAAAAATTAAATGACAGCAAAACAATATATCTTCTGTCACATCTATCTTCTTCTACCTCAGTTGCTGAATCAGTATATCTTTTTAGAGTGATTTCCTGTTCACAACCATCGTAGAGAAACTTTTGGTCTCGAGCCATGTTTATGATGAACTAATGATGTTCTATTCTTTTATGGCTTTAACACTGTCCTTTTTATTAAACAAGTGATGAGGACATTTTGCAGCCTTGAACTTGAAGGTTAATATTGATTCACTGTGTACTTCTGTGCCAGATGCTGTGTTGGGTACTTGGGATACAGTGGAGACCAAAATGGACATAGTTATTCCTGTTACAAAGTTTTGATTCTGTTGGGGGAGTTCATTGGAATAATTATCACATAAGTGTGAAATTCTAACTTTGATGAGTATTATGAAAGGTACATAGTGTAATGGGCGCCTGTTCTGGGGTATCAAGGAAGGCTTCCTCTGGAAGCAACCATTGAGTTAAGACATAAAACATAAGTAGGAATTAATTAGGCCAAGACAAGCAGGAATATCATTCAACATTTCAGTTAAGAAAACAAAGTGGAACACACCTGTGATGGGTAGGTGATAATGCACTTGAAGAACTGAAAGAGAGTTGGTATGTGTTGTCAGAGCAGATGGCCAAAGAAGTGAGATGCAAGGTAAGATTGAACAAGTAGCTAGGGACAATATCTACGTGATTTTATAAGCCATGCAATAGATTTGGGAGCTCTCTCATACCAGTGGGAGATGTTTTACACTAGATGGTAACCGGGGTGCCTGGGTTGCTCAGTTGGTTGAGCATCTGACTTTGGCTCAGGTCATGATCTCACAGTTCATAAGTTTGAGCCCCGCGTCGGGCTCTGTGTCTGAAGCCTGCTTCTGATTCTGTATCCCTTTCTGTCTCTACCCCTCCCTTGCTCGTGCTCTGTCTCTCACAAAAGCAAAATAAGCATTAAACATTTTTAAAAATAAATAAACTAGATGGTAACCTCGGATATGAGATTAGCATAGCTCACTGGGTCTAGGGTAAGGAGAGAGTTTTGGATAATGACAAGAATGAATGCAGGAAGTCCTTTAGGAGATTCTTATTTTGATCCATATGAGAGGACAGTCATGCAGGTAGGGTAGTGAGATGGAGGTGACAGAACAAGAGAGGTTTGGGAGGTAAAAATAAATAGTCTAGAAATGGATTGGAGGGATGAGGGAATTTCGGATGACTCCAAGATGCCAGTTGGCTGGATAGATGGATGGCTGTGAGTTATTAGTAACAGTAGCTATATTGCTAACCTTACTAATCAATTAGGACTGGCCAGTCTCTTCTCTGAGTGTTTTGCTTATATTGATTCATCTAATTCTCACAACAGTTCTGTGTGATAGGTTTACTATTATTATTCCCATTTTACCGGGGATTAAGTAAGGGGACCAAGGCTCATAACTAGAGAAACCAGTTTCTCCAAAAACACACATTTATACCTGATGGGGGAAAGAGGATGTGGAGAGAAAAGCAGGGCAGAAAGAGTGAGTGTGGCTGGATAGATAGCAGGAAGGAGGAGTGTAGAGTTCCAGGGAGGTATTGTTATATGAAAAACATAAATGTGTATAAGCCAATGAGAAGCATTTAGTTGAGAGGAGAGCTGAATATTCTAGTGAAAGAGAAGGAGAAATTGTATTAGTAAGGTTTCTGAATGAAGACGAGATCCAAGATACATGTAGAGAGAATGGCCTCACATTGAAAGCCCAGCTGTTAAACTTTGAGGGAGAAGGAGATGGTGGGAGCAGGAGGTGGGAGGTTAAGAGTTTTTGTCTGATGGCTTCTTTATTCTCTTTGAAATTGGAGCCTGGGACAACTGCTGAAAGTGGGTGAGAGTAAGAGCTTGGA